CCTACTCTCAGCATGTCCCTTCCTCTCCACTGGTAGTGGTAGTGAGTGGAGGCAAAGGCAGGAGAGAGGGGAAGTGTAAAAGAGCCAGAGATTGAAAGTCACAAGGTGAGTGGGAGCTATGAGAGAGGAAGTGATTAGGCAGGGAAGCCAGTGAGCACACACGTCTGTGCTATTGGATGAACCTTGAGCCATGGAGTTGCTTGCAGCTGGGCACCCTTTATCGTGTTGAAAGAATTACATATGACTTACAAAAACCATTTATTGGCTAACAGGCATAGTAAATTGCTGGGACTAATGTGCTCCTGGGCTATACTTGTCACTCCTAGTGCAGGCACTTGAGAGCGTCTGGCGACCTGGCAGTCACCAGTAGCTGTTTGCTCCTTGGAACAGGTTGTGGCTCAATATTGCTGAATTCTCATCTTCCAAATCTCTGCCTTTTTGTTTAGGGTTTTTGTGCCTTTCTTATTGATAATTTTCACTTGAGCCTTTGAGTTGTTGTTAATGATTTAAACTTTTGTTGTTGGCTTTCTTGTCCATTTTCTTAATTCCTGGGTTGCTCTGTGGTGACTGGTTTTGTCTGGATAAGAGGCCTTCTGTATCAGAAAATTCCTTCTCCAAATATGTCCTTAGGATCTCTTGCCTACTTCTAGATAGATTTTCTTACTTTACCTTTCTGGATCACATCAGTCATTCAGTTGCGTTATGCTTCACAAGAGTGTTGGCACATGTTATTGCTTAAAAACAATAATTGTGATTCAGATATGCTGAAATACTGTAAAACGTTTCAGGAGGTGGTAGACTGTCCCTCATTTCCTATTTGTTTTTTTCAGAGGTGCAAACACATTAGTAGTGCTTCCAAAATGTTACATTTCTGTCATGTTTTTAGATTTTTCTCTTTTCTTTGTAAGCAGCTGAATGATATTTATTTTCTTCAATTTCTTTCCTGTTGTTGGAAGTGGTTTGTATTCCCGTTAATCACAGGGTGGAGGATTTTCAGTCTTGAATTCCAGTGCCATTGATAAATACCATGTTGACAAATGCCTTTAGCTCAAATGTAAATTTTCACTTTCTTATGTATTGTTAAAGGTACTGTTGGTCTGTGAAGGATTTGCTTATAGATAATGATAAAAAATGACCAGTTTCCTACATTCAAGCCAATGTCCAGTATGTGTGCCTTATTGTTATGGAGAAATTGCTCCTTTGTTTGTGCTACAATGAACATAGTTTCAGTAGGGATAGGATGTACCTTTCTGCTTCGAGTACACATAATGGAAACTGTAAGCATATGTAATTTCTGGCATAAATATGAGGGAAAAATAGGAGTAAAAAAATGTGAGCCATTAACTTTGTCTTGTATTTTGATGGGGAAATATTTAACAAAGCTTAAATAATAACACATTTGTTGGTTTTTACAAAATGGGACAGATTTCAAACCATATTTTTAGTCCATTTGTTGCTGGCAAATGTTATCAAAATAATATGTTAGTTTGAGGCTACTAAATGGGCAATGGTCTGCCCAATATGGTAAAATCTGACAATGAGCTGTTGTAGTGGACATGAGTTTGTGGCCTGTAACCATGTATAGAGAAAGTATACTTGATATGCAAAGCACTATTTAGCTGTAGTATAGAGCCATACAAGTAAAATTTTGGGAAGAGATGAAAATAAGTTAAATATACTGTTTATGTTTGTAGTGAATAAAAGCAATTATATAAATACTTTGTGCCTGGGAATAAATTTTTTAAAAAATATTGTTTTTTCCAGTTTGGGTTGTTTTGCTTTGTTTTTTTTTAGGACTTGTAGAATTACAGCCAGTTCAGCCAATTTCATGTCAAATAATTTCAAATTTTATTACAATCCTAACTTTACATAGTTAT